TTCTAAAGAATGAATGGGTCAACGAGGAAATTAAAGAAGAATTGAAAAAAATCATGGAAACAAATGATAACGAAAACACAATGGTTCAAAAATCTGTGGGACACAGCAAAGGCAGTCCTGGGAGGAAAATATATAGCGATACAAGCCTTTCTCAAGAAACAAGAAAGGTCTCAAATATACAACCTAACCCTACACCTAAAGGAGATGGAGAAACAACAAAGAAAGCCTAAACCCAGCAGGAGAAGAGAAATCATAAAGATCAGAGCAGAATTCAATGAAACAGAAACCAAAAAAACAACAGAACAAATCAATGAAACTAGGAGCTGGTTCCTTGAAAGAATTAATAAGGTTGATAAGCCCCTAGCCAGACTTATCAAAAAGAAAAGAGAAAGGACCCAAATAAATAAAATCATGAATGAAAGAGGAAAAATCACAACCAACACCAACGAAATACAAACCATTACAAGAACATATTATGAGCAACTATATGCCAGCAAATTTGACAATCTGGAAGAAATGGAGGCATTCCTAGAGACATATGAACTACCACAACTGAACCAGGGAGAAATAGAAAACCTGAACAGACCCATAACCAGTAAGGAGATCGAAGCAGTCATCAAATATCTCCCAACAAACAAGAGCCCAGGGCCAGAAGGCTTCCCAGGGGAATTCTACCAAACGGTTAGAGAAGAACTAATTCCTATTCTCCTGAAAGTGTTCCAAAAAGTAGAAATGGAAGGAAAACTTCCAAACTCATTTTATGAGGCCAGCATCACCTTGATCCCAAAACCAGACAAGGATCCCATCAAAAAAGAGAATTACAGACCAATATCCTTGATGAACACAGATGTGAAAATTCTCACCAAAATACTAGCCAATAGGATCTAACAGTACATTAAAAGGATTATTCACCAAGACCAAGTGGGATTTATTCCTGGGCTGCAAGGTTGGTTCAACATCTACAAATCAATCAATGTGATACAATACATTAATAAAAGAAAGAACAAGAACCATACAATACTCTCCATAGATGCTGAAAAAGCAATTGACAAAGTACAGCATCCCTTCCTGATCAAAACTCTTCAAAGTGTCGGGATAGAGGGCATATACCTCAATATCATCAAAGCCATCTATGAAAAACCCACTGCAAATATCATTCTCAATGGAGAAAAACTGAGAGCATTTCCGCTAAGGTCAGGAACACGGCAGGGATGTCCATTATCACACTGCTATTCAACATAGTACTAGAAGTCCTAGCCTCAGCAATCAGACAACAGAAAGAAATTAAAGGCATCCAAATCGGCAAAGAAGAAGTCAAACTATCACTATCACTCTTCACAGAATATATGAACTATATGTGGAAAACCCAAAAGACTCCACTCCAAATCTGCTAGAACTTGTACAGGAATTCAGTAAAGTGTCAGGATATAAAATCAATGCACAGAAATCAGTTGCATTTCTTTACAACAACAACAAGACAGAAGAAAGAGAAATTAAGGAGTCAATCCCATTTACAGTTGCACCCAAAACCATAAGATACCTAGGAATAAACCTAACCCAAGAGGCAAAGAATCTATACTCAGAAAACTATAAAGTACTCATGAAAGAAATTGAGGAAGACACAAAGAAATGGAAACATGTCCCATGCTCCTGGATTGGAAGAACAAATATTGTGAAAATGTCTATGCTACCTAAAGCAATCTACACATTTAATGCAATCCCTATCAAAGTCCCATCCATTTTTTCCAAAGAAATGGAACAAATGATCCTAAAATTTGTGTGGAACCAGAAAAGACCTCGAATAGCCAGAGGAATTTTCAAAAAGAAAGCCAAAGTTGGTGGCATCACAATTCCAGACTTCAAGCTCTATTACAAAGTTGTCATCATCAACACAGTATGGTCCTGGAAGAAAAACAGACACACAGATCAAGGGAACAGAATAGAGAGCCCAGAAATTAGACCCTCAACTCTATGGTCAACTAATCTTTGACAAAGCAGGAAAGAATGTCCAATGGAAAAAAGACAGCCTCTTCAACAAATGGTGTTGGGAAAATTGGACAGCCACATGCGCGAAAAATGAAACTGGACCATTTCCTTACACCACACACGAAAATAGACTCAAAATGGATGAAGGACCTCAATGTGAGAAAGGAATCCATCAGAATCCTTGGGGAGAACACAGGCAGCAACCTCTTTGACCTCAGGCACAGCAACTTCTTCCTAGGAACATCGCCAAAGGCAAGGGAAGCCAGGGCAAAAATGAACTATTGGGACCACATCAAGATCAAAAGCTTTTGCACAGCAAAGGAAACAGTTAACAAAACCAAGAGACAACTGACAGAATGGGAGAAGATATTTGCAAACAACATATCCGATAAAGGGCTAGTATCCAAATCTATAAAGAGCTTATCAAGCTCAACACCCAAAGAACAAATAACCCAATCAAGAAATGGGCAGAGGACATGAACAGACATTTCTGCAAAGAAGACATGTAGATGGCCAACAGACACATGAAAAATTGCTCCACATCACTCGGCATCAGGGAAATACAAATCAAAACCACAATGAGATACCACCTCACACCAGTCAGAATGGCTAAAATTAACAAGTCAGAAAATGACAGATGCTGGCGAGGATGCGGAGAAAGGGGAACCCTTCTACAATGTTGGTAGGAATGCAAGCTGATGCAACTACTCTGGAAAACGGCATGAAGGTTCCTCAAAAAAGTTGAAAATAGAGCTACCCTAGGACCCAGCAATTGCACTACTGGGTATTTACCCTAAAAAGATACAAACGTAGTGATCTGAAGGGGCACATGCACCCAAATGCTTATAGCAGCAATGTCCACAATAGCCAAACTATGGAAAGAACCTAGATGTCCATCAACAGATGAATGGATAAAGAAGAGATGGTATATATATACAATGGAATACTATGGAGTCATCAAAAGACATGAAATCTTGCTATTTGCGACAACGTGGATGGAAGTAGAGGGTATCATGCTTAGCGAAATAAGTCGATCGGAGAAAGATAACTATCATATGATCTCCCTGATATGAGGAAGTGGAGATGCAACGTGGTGGGTTTTGGGGGGTAGGAAAGAATAAATGAAACAAGATGGGATCAGGAGGGAGACAAACCATAAGAGACTCTTAATCTCACAAAGCAAACTGAGGTTTGCGGGGGTAGGGGGGCAGGGAGAAGGTGGTGGGGTTATAAACATTGGGGAGGGTATTTGCTATGGTGAGTGCTGTTAAGTGGGTAAACCTGGCGAGTCAGAGACCTGTACCCCTGGGGCTAATAATACATTATATCTGAATTTTTTTTTAAAAAAAGCACCAATCCAGCTAAAAATTAGCCTTGTTTTTAAATATTTCTTGAATAAATGAAAATAATTTTTCTCTGAAAAAAAAAGAAAGACTACTTGATCACTATGTCTGGTATAAGATATCTATAAATGTCAGTTACAGAGGCATTTGGTGAAATTCTTATTGGTCCCATGGCTTTTAAATCCATTTGCAATGTTTTACCCCTTTTTTATTATGATGACAATATTACATTCCTATTATTAGTCTTAAATTAAAAACTGCAAACATTTATTCACTCAGAAATGAATGACTATATCAGAGAACATACAAGCCAATTTTAGTTTAAATATTGCAATATTACCATAATTTTCATAAGAAAATGAAAATTTTCTCACAAGATAGAATTTAAATCAATTATTGACTGACCAGTGATAAATATGGCTATGTTGTTCAATCACAGGCTCAGCAGGAAGGACTTACTCAAAAAATAACATTCTTCTTATCACTGAAAGGGTTAATTGTCCTACAGTATGCTTTCTATCAGGTTGATCATGGGCTTTTTTTTTAAAGGACTCAAAATACCACTTTATTATTTTAATTTAATTTAATTTATTTTATTTTCAAAATACCAATTTATTTATTAGGACTCAAAATACCACTTTAATCCTACTAAGTTGCAATTAGGCTAAAAATAAATACAATTATTTTCATGAGTTCATAAGCCAATCAATTTATTTAAATAGTCTCTGAGCATCTAATATATTAGAGATTCTATGCTAAATACTACAAGTGAAATCATTTAAAGCATGAAGTTCAACAGAAATCGAAATGGCTATGCAAAGCAAAATAAGTCAATCAGAGAAAGACAATTATCGTATGATCTCGCTGATATGTGGAATTTGAGAAACAAGGCAAGGACCATAGGGGAAGAGAGGAAGAAATGAAACAAGAAACCAGAGAGGGAGAAAAACCTTAAGAGACTCTTAATCTCAGGAAACAAACTAAGGGTTGCTGGAGTGGGTGAATGGCAATGGGAGGGATGGGGTGGCTGGGTAATGGTCAGCGGGGAGGGTATGTGCTATGGAAGCACTGTGAACTGTGTAAGACTGATGAATCACAGACCTGTATCACTGAAACAATACATTATATGTTAATAATAAAAAAGAAATAAAAATAACTACAGTAATGCTTCAGTGAAGCTAGATTGATTTTAAAGTAACCTTTTACAACTCTTCTGCAAACCTCCCATCATCCCTTCTTAACCTTTTGTTTCAGGAACCTGTTACCACCCTAAAGACACGACAGAACAGCTGGTAGAAAGTACACAATTCCTATCAAAACTGGCTTGATTTTATATTTCCCTAAACACCCCTATCCCCTTCTTCTAGTAGAACTGCAGTTTTTGAAGGCCATAGCCTGCTGTAGCCTCCTTTGCCTAGGAAGGTCATAAAGCTACTGTTCCTCTTTGCCCACACTCTGTCTTCGAGTTATATGTTTCTGAAGTACAGAGGTAGGTTTTTGACAACATTAAGGATATAAAAATTAAGATTCCATCCATATATAACAGAGGTGAGCAGTAAAGACAGTGTACATATAACTATAATAGAATTGAGAATATAAATGCCCTAAGACTGACTAAAGTGAGTGTTCTTGACGTTCTAAGAGAAAAAGATTATAACAGGTAACAATTACCTCATCTCCCATCTGTGGGACAAATGGGGAACGTCGTGGTATGGTATCCAAAATCCACTGAGGGGCAAACCATTCTTCATTGGGTTCACCTGCCATAGAAAGCAGTCCTCCTTTCTAAAATATAGTTCACAAATATATAAACCATAAATATATGAATAGTAGTATGAAAAATAACAGAGAATGTTAAAAAAAATCAGGTTATAATAAAACCTAAAATATACAAATTTTAAACATTTCATTTATCAATTAAAATTATGTACAATTTTGTACCAATAAAACAGTCAAGCGAATTCTTTAATATTTGCTCCATTTTGGCTGACAGAAAATAATATGACATTATATACTATGTAAGAACCACAAATTTTCAAGTCCCCAAATACCATGTGAATTTGAGTATAAGTAACACAGGATCTTTTTGCCAATAAAATGGTGACAAGAAGATAATTCTGTCTACTAAAGCAACAGGATACAGGATACCTGATACATTGTGCATATGTACAATATGTACATAATAAATTTTTAAAATAATATTTAGATAACTGTGTGGATTAAGTCTTTACCTGAAATTATAGTGAGGAAGAGAAACCATCATTGGGATGAAATAAAAACATATAAAGAAATGGAAGAACTCCTATAAGATTTATTATACCTTTCCATTTTACAAGTCAAAAATGTATATAAATTTATGACCAGAAACATGACAAGTATAACTTTTTTATACTATAGTAGCTTATTGTTTAAAACTCAACTATATTTTAAAAAGTAATTATCAATATTTTAATTTAACAATAACTAAATAATAATGTAGATATTCTAGCCTCTACTTTTGATAACAGAAAAAAATTAAAACATCTTTTTATTTTTAAGTCATTTTAAACAATTTTACTTATTTTCTCAGATGGAATGTTATTTTTAGAGAAAAGTCAAGTGTTACTATTTTTCAAGTGTCAAAGGCAAAAACAAAAACAATAGAAACAACTTATAAATTTACAAACCTTCTTTCTAGTTTGTTTAGTTTTCTTTTGCCTTTCTTCTAGTGACTTCAAGTTCTCCTCCTCTGAGCTGCTGCATATTTTCCGTGTTGCCTGTCTGGTTTGTCTTTTTGGAGGTTGCAAATTTATTCCAGCATCTGCTGTCCAATCAGAATATTCACTTGATGAATCACTATAAATAAATCAAAATTATGAATATATAAGTTTAGGAAAGGAATACTTTTGTCTCCTAATTTAAAGATGATCATTTTGTAATAAAACAGCATTATAAATGACATGACTTGATTTTGTTCTAACTGAACAGAAAAAATATCAATACAGATTTTAGATCATTAAGTGATTTCAGTGAAAACCTTCTTGGATAAAGTATAATGGTTAGTTTCCCATAACAGAATTTAAAATTCAAAATTTCTGTCCAAGTAACAAAAGCCTCTTTAAATAAAGATGCCCCTAATCCCTAGAAATGGTTAAATGTAGCTGTTTTAAAACTCAACTAAATAAACAGAGCCTGCTAAGATGCAGAATCTTGGATTTACAAAGCATCTTATTTTACAAATGAGGAAACTAAAGCCCATAGTGACATGCCCAAAAAGATACTAGTAGAACCAGAATGAAACAAGTCTCTGAATATCCAACCCAGTACTCTTTCTACTATAAAATACTATTTTAACTCTGATTTTACCAAATTCCTCCTAGAACATAATTTCACATTAAAATGGTCAGATAATTTTGACCAAATCAAAACCATTAAAACTACCTGGAAGAACTTTCACTTTGCCATTCAATAACAGGATCCTCTACAGAAGCATCACTTGTGCCAATTGTTTCATCTTCCTGCAACAAGGAGTCAGCAGTTGAGATATATGATTATTAACTAGCATATTATTAATTAGCACATACTACCTATTTTATAACACTTTTTGTACTTCCTCTAACCAAAACAACAATCCAGGTAAAATGAACATAATTAGGGTCGCCTGGCTCAGGAGGTTGAATGTCCGACTCGGTTTTGGCTCAGGTCATGATCTCATGGTGGTGGGATTGAGCTACATGTCAGGCTCTGCACCCAGTGGTGAGTCTACTTGAGATTTTCACTCTCCTCTCCCCCTGAACCTTGCCCCACTCTCCTTTTCTCTCTCCCTCTAATAAATAAATAATTAAATTTTAAAAAATAATCATTTTCCTACATATATCCGTAACTCACAATTAAGCATACCAGGTATTTAAAACCTTCTAACATCTACTATCTTATTGATACGGGACATCTTTTATTACTTCAAAGACTGAACAGACTCCTTAAGGTTCCCAAATATAATCCTCTTAAATATTAAAACCATTGCTTAAAAAAATATATCTGTATGCTTCTGCCAAGTTAATGTAATTACTCTTCATAAAATAATCTTTTTATTATGTAAAATTTCAAACATTCCAAAGTAGAGGGAATAAATTACTCTTGTGTACACAATCTCCAGTATAGACAATAACTCACTGCCTATCATGTTTTATCTGTACCATCACCAACTGCCTCATACCCAAGTAATTATTTCAAAGTAAATCCTTACCAAAACAAGCATTTTAAATATAAACATTTAGTAAGATTATGATTCTTTTTAAAAACAAAACCATACCACTATTATGACCTTAGAAAGGAAATAGTCCTCAATACCTGACTATTCCTTTTAGTTCAAGATTTTCACAGGTGAAGGAGAAGAGGAAGGACATCACTGGTAAGAATTAAAGAGCTGTGAATGCTGGAAGAATAATAGGAGGGCCATATATTATCAATGAATAATTAAGCCCACATTATCCACTTAATAATGAAAGTTGTTAAGAGAACAAAAGGAAAGGACTGGAGAAGAGAAGAAAAGAATTGGTAAACTCTATTCTATTACCATGAAAAATGTAGGTCTGAAAAAAGCCATCACTTCATAATCTCCATGACTAATGAAGTCAACAATAACGGAAAATGTGCCTTTCTGCTGATTACACAGTAAACCAGTTCCGGGACTGTAAATTAGTTATTATTGTTTATATTCCACTTCTTATTTATGGGCAGATTTCCTTTCACTCTTTTCTCATTGTCCCAAAGTCAAACTTACTGGCATATTTGATACTCTCAAACAAAATAGTATCTTAGGTATAAATCAGAGAAGATACCTAAAGGAATTCAATGTAATGTTCAAATTTGCCTATTAAATGCCTTACTAATGGAAAATCTTAAAAGAAAATCATTAAAATTAGTTTCTCTTAAAATCACTATTAAAAGTAAACCCAAGGTAATGATACTAACTGGTAAACAAAAAATTACACTGACTAAATAATTGCAGATATCTAACCTCTGAGGAGCTGTCTGAGTCTTCCTGTACACCTGAATTTTGACACGATGCTTGTGAATTATGCTCTATGTTGGACCGTGTTTGGTAAGTATGTTGACGTTTGCGCTGTGTCCTCCGTAAAGACCGCCCACAGCTAGGCTGATAATCAGTCTGTAAAACAGAAAGAAATTTTTGAAAAATGAAAGGCCTGGAGTGCCTGGGTGGCTCAGATGGTTAAGTGTCTGCCTTTGGCTCAGCTCATAATCTCAGGGTCCTGGGATCCATCCCCATGTTGGACTCCCTGCTCAGTGCAGAGCCTGCTTCTCCCCTTTCTCTGCTATTTCCTCTGCTTGTGCTCTCTGGCTCTATCCCTCTCTCAAATAAATAAAATAAAAATCTAAAACAAAAATGAAAGGCTCAGTGAACAAACACAAATATATAAAGCAAATAATTTGGGTGGGGGAGAGGAGAGGGATGGCTGTAATAATTAGGAATAAATCCCCAAAAAGAAAATATAAGATATATCTATATGTATTTCAGCTACTTTCCATTAATATTTATTACTCTCCTATTTCAAAAATTTTGTGATCAAATTAAAGAGTGTGCTGAAAGTTTGGGCTGCAAGAATGGGCCCACTCAGAATTTACATATACTGTATTACTCACAATTTATTGCAAGATAAAGCAAGATATATATACCATACCTATGTATATATAATCCTTAATATAATATGTACTTCTTTGTTCTTTAAAAAAACTACATTTAATAAACTGATAAAATATTTAACTTTTAACAACTTAAAGCAAAAACTATTTTCTTCTAACCTTTACAAGTATAAAATATTAATGATATTACCTTATGTTAAACTTAAGTAAACAAGTTTAAAAGTCATAAATAAATCAGTAACAAGGACTAGTTTCTTGCCCCATATGTAAATATTTCTCATTTTTGATATAAATAAAAATGTTTGTAGACCCAACAACCCTGTTTATTATTATTAGTCTCAGACAAGTATGATATTTGAAAAATCAGCTTAGCAGGAGAAAATAATATAAATCATAGATCTGAGTCATTCAAAATTTCTAAGAAAATAACATTAAGAGAGAACATCAAATAAGCTACCAAACCTCAACAGAAATTAAGAAAGTGGGCATCAAAATGATCTAAGGATATTTGAAGATATTCATAAGATACTTACCTAAAATTGTGTTTATCAATACTGAAAAAAAAACATTTAAAATTCAGTGCCCATTGCCTAGATTTCTTTAATAAAATTAAAATCATCCTAGACTCTCCAAATTACCATACTTTTTAGGAGTTACAGTTAGATCTGGGAATAAGAATATACATCGTTATGCAACTACTTTGCTCAATCTCCGAATACTAGTAAGGGGTTTACTATGTACCTAATGAAGTATAGGAATCTGACTCCCTGCCTAGCTGTTTCTACTGGGAATATGAATCCTCCCAGTGTATAGATCAAATTGTGCTTCTGTATGATTAGGTAGGCCAAGAGTGGGCCTTTCTGTAAAGGGTCAGAGAAAATAGTTTTGGCTCTGCAGGTCATATGATCTCTGTTATAACTACTCAACTCTGTAGCGTGAAAGCAGCCATACATAATATATTAATTAGTAAGTGTGGCTGTGTTCCAATAAAACTTTTATTAACAGGAATAGGCTATAGATTAGATTTAGACCATGCATAGTAGTTTGTCAACCTCTGACATAGGATATCTAAACATTTATTTTATACTGTGATTAGTGACCAGCCAACAATTTTAAGGTTTTACTCTAACCATATGAAAATGGTATTTTAATACAAATGTTTTATACATACAATGACCACATATCCTAAATTTTGGAGGACAATCCTGACTTTGTGTAATTTTATTTTTATTAATAATTGCCATATATTTCAATTTCAGGTTTAAAAAACAGGTTATCCATACATGTAGTTAGCTAGCAAAATAGCCCCTTAATACATAATTGCTACCTTTGAAAAACCCAGTACCTGCAAATATTTACAAGTAGTGTAACCCAGTGGACTGTAAAACTAAACTTACCCTCTGGGTAGTATAAGATGGCTTTTTCTTCTTTTCAACTGTATAAAGACTGATTTCTATGTCACCTTTTGCAGTTCGACATTCTTCCTGAACCCTAATAACAAAGGTTAAAGTGACAGAAAATCATAAAAATCAAACCAACAGTCTAAAGGTCAGATAACAAAAATATCTTCAAATGTAAAATTTGCCATTTTAACTATTTTTAGGTGTATGTTAATGACATTTACAAAGTTGTGTAACCACCATCACCACTCTTTCCAAAACTTTTTCATCATTCCAAACTTTGTAACCATTAAGCAGTAACTCTCAATTTCTCCTTCTATCAGTCCTTATTAATCTCTAATCAACTTTATGTCTCTATAAATTTGCTTTCTCTATATATATCATATAAGTGGAATCATATGCTATGTTTTTACTATTTATCCACGTGAGAGCAGTTATTAGAACTTCATTCTCTTTTTATGACTGAACAATATTCCATTTTATGTATATATCACATTTTGTTTATCCATTCATTTGAGGACAGACACTGGAGTTATTTCTACTGTTCTGGTATTGTGAATAATATAGCAATGAACATTGGCATACAAGTATCTATTTGACTTCCTTATTTGTACTTTAATGTTTTGAGTAAAGAATTATTTCAAATTCCTCTATTGCTAAGACTTCATAAATTACCTATGTTTCCCTAAGAAAAGGCAAAACTAAATTATGTTTGCTGCCTGTTGGATGAGAGGGTAAAAGGATTGGGAAAGGAAATAGCATTATTAAGAGATTTTTTTAATCATTTTTTAATTTATTTTCAGCATAACAGTATTCATTGTTTTTTTATGTTCTCTGTCAAATGTCCTTTTTCTTTTCTAAGTCTATTTCCAGCCTATGTGGATTATCTGTTAGGATTTATAAATAAGAATAGGTATTCTAAATTAAAAATTCATCCTAATAAAGTCCTTTCATACAAGGACATCTACTTAAAGGGCATTTCAAAATATGCCTTAAGCACCGGGGTCTACAACACATCTATGCTGCATTCCCAAACTATTCCAATATCAAAGTGATGGCCTTTTTCCTCAGAACCACTGTTGAATTTTGGGTCTATATACCAAGGACATATTTAATAACATATGGTCTCATATTCTTACTTAATAGTATTTGTATTCTTATGTTCTAATCTAGACTATAAACTCATGGAAAACAAAGTATGTTTTTCATTTTTCAGTATTTCCCAAACCATTTAGTACAAAGCCAAGTAAATAAAAAATAATCATTAAATAGTTGTTATGGAATGAACTAACTGGAGTAATATAGAAAAACTAATACAGAACTCAGCTTGATTAAAATATACCTTAGTTATTAAAATTTCCTAACTAAACAATAAAGTTCTGAATTTTCTTGTCAGTGCTATCTTATTGACTCACCTACTAACTCCACTATTTAGTTCATTGACCACCACTCTTCTGCTCCATGCCATGAGATCTCGTTCAGTGGCCATCTGGCTTCGAGGAGCATTGTTATGCATTTGTCGGACACCTTCAATCTGACCACTACGTCGAAGCCCAATGTTTGGGGATGAATATATGTCCATATTTGGACTTCTCAGAGCTAAAATAAAAAGAAAGGTACCACTTTCTCTGAGTAAAGGCACAAATTTTTAGAGATCAGTACTCCAGAATAGGAGAGTCTAAGATGGTACTTCTAGACAATATTGCTATCCTTTTGTTCGACATTTTCTGTACCACCCTGAATAAAGCAAGGCACTAAATAATTGTTTTAAGTTTCTATCACTCTTTTAAATTTTTTCAAAGTACATTCATATCTGTCATCTAGTAAATACTGAGGAAATACAAAAAGCATATTTAACATGATTTGGTAGATTCACAAATGTTTAATAGTACTATTTCAGAAAGCAGCTTTTAATCTAAATCCTGCATTAAGCCCATGAAAAGGTCTATGAATAAAGTTTCAATAGGCTTTTGAAAGTAGTAATAAGAGAAAAAAAATATAAGATTTATTCAATCAAAATTTCATTTTCAAAACTGGTAAGCAATGAAAGAAAGGGGAAATAAAGTAATGAAACCTTTTTTAAGCACCTAGATATTCTCTGTTTATTTATTTTGTTGTATTTGCAAATAAAATAAAAATGGAAATTGCATGAATCACTCAACTTTTAAAATAAGCACTCAGGAAAGACAATAAAAATAAACATTGGAAACAGAAGCCAGTGGGGTCGCTTTTACTAAGGCATTTCAAATCTATCAACAGAAATCTAGTATTGAGGGTAGAGCTGATTTCATTAATGAATCTCTAAATCAGGGTCCTAAGAAAGTTTTATGTCAAGAAACAAAAAGGGCCTGGTTATGTAGGATTATCAGCTCACTTCTTATTTTGTTCCAGGTTAAGGAAAGCCAATCTGAGTTAGATGCTCCCTGGGTGAACAAAGAATGTTTTTATTTTAATTTTATGGGATACTTCAGAATCAGGAAATGAGTATAATACCTTGTGAATCACATCTAATTTAAATTGTTTTATTCAATTCTTGGACTCCAAAAGCTATGATACCCAAATAAACCCCAATTATAAAAATGTAAAAAGAAACACATTTGCCAAAATCCCTTAAGATGGCATTTTGAAGTACAACTAATAGTTCTTGATAAAAATAAAATTGATGGTGCTCACTTTGGCAGCACTTATATTGAAATGATACAAAGAAGATTAGCATGGCCCCTGAGGATGACAGGCAAATTCATGAAGTATTCCATCATTAAAAGAAAAAAAGTAAAACTGACAGAAGCTAATATTTATATAAAATTCAAATATATAGGGCACCTGGGTACCTCAGTTGGTTGGGCATCTGCCTTTTGGGTCATGATCTTAGAGCCCCAGGATCAAGTCCTGCACTGGGCTCCCTGCTCAGCAAGGGAGTCTGCTTCTCCGTTTGGCCCTCCCACCCCTCGTGCTTTCTCTCTCACTCATTATTTCTCAAATTAATAAATAAAATCTTTAAAAAATTCAGATGTATAGTCACATTTCATATAAAGTGAAGAAAAGATACAATAAATTAGAATACAGCTAGTATTTAAACTGTTGTGAAAATCAATCCACAAGTTGCATCTGTATTTCCTATGAATAGGGCTTATCTTCCAGTGTATTGTTGTAAATTCAAGAGTTGAAGGAGATAATGTTGCTTTTTTTTTTTCTTCAACAAAGGTGGATAAATTTTTTCTTAGTTACTTTTACATTGAAGTGGTTTTAATTTTGAAAACATTATAGGCTGGTTCTTCTTCTACAAAAAACATGTATTTCTACAGTACCTCATTTATTATAACAAAAGTGAAGACTGAAAATACATTCTTGAGTTAAGAGAAAACAGTATATTAAAATATACCACCCATATTTCGTGAGACACATTAAGACCTTTAGCCACAAATGACAATGAGATTATGGCACTTCAGTATATTTGATATCACAATTTTAAATTAATAAAAATGTTCTTATTTAAAAACCTAAAATGTTCCTTACATGTGATTACTTAGTGCAAATAAAATGAATAAACTATATCCATCACATATATACATACTTACCACCATTAGCAGAATATGATCTATTAATTGGAAAATGAGGAACATCTCCTTCATTAATTAGTCTAAGATCTTGTTCTCTCTGTAGCTCCCTGATTATCCCATCAAGAATGCTTTCGTCTTGGTCATTGGTTTGTTGTCCAATTACTTGTTCTACCACCTCACCATCACCTTAATGAGACCAAAGATATAAAGCCACAAAATTTTAATATAACCTAAATGGAGTAAAACAATATAGTAAATACAGTAAAAACAACCTTAATCTATAACTTTTTAGATAAATACTAAAAATAAGATTAAAATGAAAATAAAACATATATCAAACAGTACTTATAAAGAACTTTTAAATTTTTTTTAATTTAATTTTTTCAGTGTTCCAAGATTCACTGTTTATGCACCACACATTGCTCCATGCAATATGTGCCCTCCTTAATAGGCACCATGAGGCTCACCCATCCCCCCACCCCCTCCCCCGTAAAACCCTCAGTTTGTTTCTCAGAGTCCACAGTCTCTCAAGGTTTGTCTCCCCCTCTAATTTCCCCCAATTCACTTTTCCTTTCCTTCTCCTAATGTCCTCCATGTTATTCCTTATGTTCCACAAGTAAGTGAAACCATATAATTGACTTTCTCTGCTTGAATTATTTCACACAGCATAATCTCCTCCAGTCCCCTCCATGTTGATACAAAAGTTGGGTATTCATCCTTTCTGATGGCTGAGTAATATTCCATTGTATGTATGGACCATATCTTCTTTATCCATTTGTCTGCTGAAGGGCATCTTGGCTCTTTCCAGTTTGGAGACTGTGGACATTGCTGCTATGAACATTGGGGTACCTATGGCCTTTCTTTTCACTATATCTATATCTTTGGGGTAAATACCCAGTAGTGCAATTGCAGGGTAATAGGGAAGCTCTATTTTTAATTTTTTGAGGAATCTTCACACTGTTTTCCAAAGTGGCTATACCAACTTGCATTCCCACCAACAGTGTAAGACAGTTCCCCTTTCTCCACATCCTCTCCAACATTTGTTCTTTCCTGTCTTGTTAATCTTTGCCATTCTAACTGGTGTAAGGTGGTATCTCAATGTGGTTTTTATTTGAATTTCCCTGATGGCTAGTGATGATGCACATTTTTTCATGTATCTGTTAGCCATTTGCATGTCTTCTTTGGAGAAGTGTCTGTTCATGTCTTCTGCCCATTTTTTGACATGATTATCTGTTATGTCTTTGTTGAGTTTGAGAAGTTCTCTAAAGATCTTGGATATTAGCCCTTTATCTGTACTGTCATTTGCAAATATCTTCTCCCATTCCGTGGGTTGCCTCTTTGTTTTGTTGACAGTTTCTTTTGCTGTGCAGAAGATTTTTAACTTGACAAGTCCCAAAACTTCATTTTCACTTCTGTTTCCCTCGCCTTTGGGGACGTGTCTTGAAAGCAGTTGCTGTGGCCAATGCCAAAGGGCTGACTGCCTATGTTCTCCTCCAGGATTTTGATGGATTCCTGTCTCACACTGAGGTCTTTCATCTATTTTGAGTTTATCTTTGTTTATGGTATAAGAGAATGGTCGAGTTTCATTCTTCTATACATAGCTGTCCAATTTTCCCAGCACCATTTATTGAAGAAATTGTCTTTTTCCCACCGTATATTTTTCCTGCTTTGTCGAAGATTACCTGACCATAGATTTGAAGAACTTTTAAATTGTTTGATATGTCAGTTTGTGTGTATGTATGATGTAACAAATATCCCCAAATTAGCCATTATTAGGAAGGTCTTAAGAAATAATTATTAAATTATGAATTTCCAAATGTACTTTTTTGATGAAATATTCTAAGCAAAAAGTCCAGAGTAGAGATCTGAGTAAAGTTTAAAGTTCAACTACAGATATAGAAAATGTTCTGCATCTTTCTTTCATGAGAATTTCCTTTCTGAAATAAATCAAAATGATTTATTTATTTCAAATACTATCTCTTTTGAAAACACCTCAGTATATTGATAATTACAGAAATTATTTCTATTTATACACTGAAACACAATGATTACATCTGAATACTTTATTTATTTCTATATTATTTTTCTTTTAAAGATTTATTTATTTATTCCAGAGTGGGGAGGGAGAGGGGAGAGAAAGACGGACAAAATCCTCAAGCAGACCCTATGCTGAGTATGGAGCCACAGGGGGCTGGATTCTAGGTACCTTAGATCACGACTTGAGACAAAATCAAGAGTCAGATGTTCAACAAATTGAGCCACCCAGGCACCCTTATATTTTTTCTTAAATACATCTTAGACATGTTTTTCACCTTGTCCTCTAGTCAGACTAAAAGGTATCCTAAAGAGTAGCCACGCAGCCAAATCATCAGGTCTTATAGGAAATTAAATGTGATGAATTAGAGATTTTTTTATTCAAATGTTTTTAGTTTTATCTCCTATTTAATATTCATGCTTTTCACCCTTGTTTACACATATGACATTGTAAAAGTTAATATTAGCAAATGTGTAATACTATTGTTCTACAAATCTTTATGAGAGAGTACATAAAAGGATATGTAACATTTCACTCTATAAAAAACAATTCAAGTCTTAAATCCCTAGTGAGGAAATAAAATTCCATTTATAAATCAATACCTATCTCATACCTGGAAGAAAACCTACAACTAACAAACTAAGATATGAAGGCATTCGGGTATGGGGGATGGGGTGTGGGAATCAGAATATGCAAGAGAAATATACAAACAAGAAGATTTGCTATGGAGGGGAAGATGGCTGTGGAGTAGGAGGAGACTAGGCTTACCTCCTCTCATGAATACAAGTAGATAAATACCAATTCATCCTAAATACTCCAGAAATCGATCTGAAGACTAGCAGAACGAACTCTACAACTAAAGGTGGAGAAGAGACCGCCTCAGAGAAGGCAAGAAGTGCTGAGACACGGTTTGGGATAGAAACAGATCATGGCCGCCATGGTGGGGAGGGAGCCAAGGTCATAGAGAAGGGCAAGATACAGAGCAGCACAAAGAGGAGTTCACATGGGAAAGATGAATCCTTGTAGTGACTGGCTTCGTAAGCCAGAGCACGTTAATTTCATGAGTTCTTGAAAATAGTGGGACTTAAAGCCTGTTGTTTTATAGGTCATCGGGTTTGGCTCTGGGAGAGCATGCAAAGCATTGGGGCTGCTCTTCAAAAAAAGTCAAGGCAAACATCTCATAGACATATGACATAGAAACTGATCTCAAGAACGCCTGAGGCACACAGTGGGGAGCTTATCTGCCCATCTCAGAGTGTGTCCCAGAGAGACAGGATTCATGGAAAGACCTGTATATGAACAAAGTAACTGGCAGCTGCCATTTCCCTCACAGACCCATCTGCATAAGCACAGGGTCACCTATGGGAAACAGTATAGCACCAGAACTTACTACCTAAATTGCTTATACCACATCCTACCCCATTGTGCTCAGATGGAACTGACCTTCCACATCACACTTACCTCAGTCCCAACACAGCAGTTCTTTTCCCTCGGACCAGCCCAAACTCCTGCCAACACTGCATCTCCTGACCCAGGAGTTTTGCAGGACCTGGATTCCAGTGGCAGTGACAAAATACCTCATTTCACAAGCAGACCAGAGCACAAATAGTTAAAGCTGACCACAACAGGCCAAGGAACAAAACTGCTGACAACAGGAAAAGACAGCATCTACAAAAGATGGGTCTAAAGAATAAAGTGGACAGCACACAACAGCAGAGTGCATGTACCACACATTAGAAAAACTCACTGAAGTGCCAGGGCCTGGGGAAAAGGGGACACTACACTGAAGGGTACTACAAGGATTTCTTCTTCAAAAGGTCAATACCCCCAAAAAGAGGAGACATAGCTGACTTCCCCAACACACAGAAACAGACAGAGAGAGGCAAACAAAATGAGAAGTCAGAGGAACTTCTTCCAAATGAAGAAAGAGGACAAAGCCACAGCAAGAGGTCTAAGCAAAACAGATATAAGTAACATGTGTGACAGAGAATTTAAAGTAATGATTATAATGATATGTACTGGACTTGAGAAAAGAGTGGAAGATATAAGTGAGACACTTAAAAGATAAGGAATAACATGCCAGAGATAAAGGATTCAATAAATGAAATTAATAATACACTTAACAGAATGAACAGCAGTCTGGAAGAAGCAGAGGAACAAATCAATGACCTAGATGACAATAATGGAAAGTAGTAAAGCTAAACAAAAGAGAGAAAAAAGAATTAGGTAAAAGAATTATGGAGGTCAGTGACTCTATTAAACATAATAAAATTCATATTATGGGAGTCCTAGAAGAAAGAAAGAAAGAGACAAAAGAGGGCAGAGAATATATTTGAAGAATTAATAGCTGAAAACTTCCCTAATCTGGGGGAGGAAACAGAAACCCAGGTCCAGGAGGCACAGAGAACCCCCAAAAAAATAAAAAAAAAAAAAGATCTACACAAAGACATATTATAATTAAAATGGAAAAATACAGTGATAAATAAAAAGAAAATTAAGTCAGCAAAAGAAATGAAGATAGTTTCACATAAGGGAAATCCCTTAAGGCTATCAGCAGAATTTTTCAGCAGAAATGTTACAAAAAAAAAGGGAGTGGCATGATATACTCATAGTGCTGATTGGGGAAAATCTTCAGGCAAGAGTACTCTATCAAGCAAGGTTATTTCAGAATAGGAAAGCTAAAGAGTTTACCAGACAAATAAAAACTAAAGGCGTTAATGACCAATAAATCAGCTCTGTAAAAAATATTAAAAAGAATCTTTGAGTGGAAAGGAAAGACCATAAGTGACAGTATCAAGTAAGAAATACAAAAGCAGTGAAAATGAATACTTCTGTAAGAAATCAGTCAAAGAAAACACAAAATAAAGGAACACCATATACGTAAAACGTGGGCAGTAAAGAATGGGTTGACTCTTAAATGACAATCAACTTAATATAGACATCTAGAAGATGGTGGTGTAGTAGGTAGACCCTGGGCTTGTCTCATCCCTCAAACACAACTCCATAACTATTAAATCACTCTGAATACCCAAGAAATAAACCTGAGGACTGACATAACAAACTCCACAATGAGAGGGAGAGAAGAGGCACATCAAGAAAGATAGTAAATGTGAAGACATGGTTTGGGGGAGAAACAGAATGGGTGCTCTGA